CGGAATATCACTGCAACCATATGAAAACAAAACCCGATGGACGGGGGGATGCTATTTGCGCAAAAAAATGAATAGTGGGCGTTGCATATCAGCGAGTGTAGGTACCTCTGACGAAGAAAGCGATTCCTTTCTTCTTTCTCTTCTCATTTTACCTAGAAATGAAAATATACAGAATAAGCAAATGATACCTAATATACGTCAAGGGCGGTGCTGTTTTTGAATCGGTGAAATTTCAAACGAGTGTTTCTGGAAATCTCTTAAGAGGACGAATCGTACCCCTGAACTGCCAATCAATCAACCACAGACGATGCAGCATTGGTCAAAGTAACTGGAACAGTAGCCAGCTGCATAAACGAAGAACGAAACTATGAAATAGAGCTAGCTAAAGCATAAAAAGTATGATTAACCTCGATGAGTTTTTAGCCTGATTTGCCCGAGAAATAACTTTAAAACCTTATTCACATTAAAAAATCACTCTGAATGTAATCGATGAGAATGTAAATTTTAGCGCTGTTTGATAAGATGCTGAGGTCTTAGAGTTGACTAGTATTTTCAGTTGATGATGCCTTCGTTACCGTATTCCACGCTCCATGTACTGCCCAATTTCGGCATTACTACATAATGTGTCGAAAACAGTTAACATACCCAACAACAACAACAACGGTCAGTTGCGTTTTTAAATTTTTGCCTTACAACAACTTAAAGCTATATGAAACACACAGAACCTCTCAGAGCAAAAACGGACTGGAGAAGCGGTAGATGGAGAAATCATAAATCCCCTGGATACCGATTTACATTCCAATGGTAAAGAAATCAAGCCCCCGGAGGAAGAGGAAATCGAGAAGACTCGATTTTTACTTCGTATTTGAAATGGTTATTCTTTCAACACCGACTCATCAGTGGTGTAGCTGACACCTTTTTCATTTCACAGTTGTTTTGACCAATATTGCACGCCTAGTAGTCAGCCTTCCTGATATTTATTTCATTTTCTGAAAGGACTACACGCTCAATGGCTTTCTCAACCATAATACTGTTGAAATAATGATAATAATAATAATAATTATAATTATAATTATAATTATAATTATAATTATAATAATAACATGATGGATGGAAAAAATAACAGTGATAAATAGAGGACGACGAACTTTTAAGATTTTGAAGGGCCGGACATTTGAGGTGTAAGTATGGTCGGTGGCTTACATTTAATGTGACTGACCGCTTTTAACTAGTTCAATTGGGTATTTTTAGACAACAACCGAAGAGCCACTATTCCCGCCATATTACAGGGAGCCAACGACTGCAGTAAGCACTTGTTACATTTAGCAAACCCACCCTAATAAAACGCAGTCTTTGAAA